AATGTTAAAGTCGTGTGTGTGTGTGTGTGTGTGTGTGTGTGTGTGTGTGTGTGTGTGTTGACAGTGCAGACAGCCTTCCAACGGACCTCTACGATCAATATGTGAAATCAATGAGCTGCTTCCACCTGCAATTCATTGTTTCGCATGAACTACACAACGTTTTCGATGTCTCACTCCCACACGACTTCTTCGCTGCTCTCCGTGCACTCCCATTTCGAGGCTGTTCTGTTCCACTTCACCTTCAGCGCCAAAACACTCCAGTTGGAGTGTGCATCCCGGGGAGAAAGAAAAAAAAAATCCAAATGCGCGAGCATACCTCAATCAGGCGTCCCGTCCTTTGCAAGAGTGCAAACGCTGACTTTTAACGACAGCGCATTGCCCTTCAACGAAACAAATTAATTATCTGCTACTTAGTATGTCCTAAGTTTTGACTGCCCCCCAAAAAAGGCTGCAGTGCCACTTTGTCCCCACCTGCAGTAAAAAGTCGATCACTTTTTCAATGGATTCCAATTGGGCATGTTACTCTCGTCGGCTGGAGTTCCTTTGTATCTTTAATCAGGACAGATGGATATAAAGGATATATTATCTCAAGTGCGTACATTTTTTCGAACCCAATTAAATCGTTTTCCTTAGACTTCTCTTACCGTATATTCTTGTTTGTCTTACTTATGGTGAGCGCCCAGTCGGCCAATCTTAGATACCTGATGTTTTCATGCATCGTCATCAGATATTTACCTTTTGGGGACTAATATCGCAGGAGAAACCTCAAGGCAAATGAACATGTACGGTAGTGATGTTTTTATTAGTCCTCAAAGGGCAAATGAAAAGACAGCTTTCTTTACTGTATAAGCCTTTATTTGTAAAAAGTCTGTTGTTTGAATGATAACCCTTTTTTTTAAATACCACATACTTGAACAACTTGTATTTGTAAAAAAAAAACAAAAAAAAACCCCAGAAAGAAACAACCAAAAAAAACCCCACATTTTTTTTAAACACCAAAAAAAAAAAAAAAAAAAGCCAATTGACACCATAACGTTGACTTGCAATGACAAATTAAATAAATTATACAATATCATACCACACAAACGTTGATTTCCATGGGTACCATTACGCCAAATGAAATCAAACACCTCATTACACAACTAAAATAAGCGCTCCAATGTGAACATAAACACACACACACACACACACACACACACGCAAAAAAAAAAAAAAAAGCATTGTTTTTCTTCCAGTGCCACTTATATCTGATGAATTACATTTTCCTCCTCATGATGAAACAACAAGGATAACAACCCAGGACAAATGTAACAAATACACCAAATAATTAACCAACACAGGAATGACACAAATCATTTTCTGATTCATAGTCCAAATTAAAAAATAAAATGGCGGTGCTGTTTTGTTGATTGTTTTGTGTGTGTGTGTGTGTGTGTGTGTGTGTGTGTGTTTTTGTGTGTGTGTGTGTGTGTGTGTGTGTGTGTGTGTGTGTACACATGTGTGTTTTGCCAATTTCCGTCACAGATGGGAGGTGCACTGACGTGTCACTGGGAAGATTCCGGCATGTATCGCCATAGGGCAATCAACAGACCATAAGAACCAAATGCAGCTTCTTAGAAGAAAAAAAAAAAAATACGGGGAACACCCACTCAGTGTGGAATCACATGGCTTACGTCGGACGCTACAGGCGGAGCGTCCTTTACATCCTTTGTAGCTGAAGCGTGACTGAAGTTGATAAGCATCCTGAACCTGATCCAAGCACTTTTCCAAATCGTGCACTTTGCGATTCACACGAATCCCACCATGGACATTCCATGTTTAAATTTGATCTTATTCTTCTGCTTTTATTAAGAAAGTTCTTTTTTTTTTTTTTCCTCACAAGGTTTCATCAGAGCTGGCCGTTAAAAACAAGTGCAATTTGAGCATGTAAACACTCGATTGTTCTTCTCCTCGGTTGTGGTGATGAATCATATGATGCCGAGTTTAAATAAGTAAATAAATAGGACTAGGTCAAGAAAATAATTTTCCAGAAGGCAGGTCATGCAAAATAAAATTGCGGTGTGCACAAAATAATGAATGCACCAACTTAAGTTCTTCCAACAGTGAGAAGTCTGCATGTCAGCCCGGTCTGGGCTTTGGCGGTTGAAATTCTCCTGCTTCGTTCTGATCCATGCGCGCGTTTTAAAGGGTGATCGCCGCTATTATTCATTTATTCCTGTCATCCATTTATGAATGGAAGTCACGAAGACAACTTTTTGAGGGAATGTGTTCAAAAGATTGAAGACACAGCAGAATAGTATTTTTTGTACTTTTTTGGGGGGTGGGGGGGGGCGCTTAATTTATACAAATAATTGTGAGGGCCAAATGGTGAGAACATGGCCATAAAGTTAGGCGACTAAATGCATGGTTTCAAGAAACAGTTCATATTGAAAGAAAGTCATCATTTTACGAGAATAAATTTGGAATATGACAAAGAAAGCATTGGCCTGCGGTCAGAAAACCACTTTTAAATATCTTCTCAAATTTAATCAAAGTTGGCGTTTGTTCCTGACAAAGAACAACACTAACCGCCTCTTTTGTCGTTCACAAGTGCAGTACCCGTGCTTATTGATATAACCTGATTTATAAATGTCAGATAGAACGTCAATATGAGAATGACAACATTTGGCATTGTGACTTTATTCTCTTCATTTTCTTTTTGGCCTCGATACTTTTTAAGAAAAAAATTAGATTCTGACATTCGAACTTCACAGGAATCAATTTTCCCTTACGACCCTGGACATACTGGAGCCGAACATATTTACTTCCGCACACGTTAAGATCTATTGTTGGCAAGGCAGCAGCTGCACGAGGACTTGGCTATGTACCTTGCTTAAGGGCACAGATGACAACGTGTTTTTTTTTTCAAGTTTTTTTTTTTTAGTTTTGGAGGAACAGGAAAGAACATCCAGCTCGCCTTCTTAAGGCATATCCTGCTCCTCTAGCCTCTGTAAGCCAGCTTGGCCATAATGCCCTTTTCCCCCCCTCCATAAAGAATAAAGGGAACACTCGGAGTTACATTGCGCTGTTTAAGTGTTCCCACACACACGCACACACACATACAGTTGGTTGACTTGGGGGCACGCCATCCCATTTGCTGACAATGAGCCAAAGCCTTGAGTCAACATTAGCTTTGCACATGGAGGGCGGGGAGGGTGGTGGGGGGCAGGTGAATGTCAACAGTCTCCATAAACTCCATCACTGCTAGAGGACTTGTTGAATTCTCCATTATTTTGTCAACACTGGTGTCTTTTTTTTTTTTTTGCCTTTTCTTCTTGATTTTGTTTGCTGAAGTATGCCAATGCTAGAGAAGCTGTCCATGCCATTAGCAGTGAGGCTCGTTGGTATTTCCGAACTGCTGTGTTTTTGTTCATGCATTAAGAAGTATTAAGTGAAAGATATCATATTTACAGTACAATTCACATATAATTACACATATACACTAGAGGCAAGAAAAATTCACATTGAACTTAGATCAACACTCCCCCCGTCCCCTCCCGCCCCCTTCCACACTTTGAACACGTGTTAAACGAACAGAAGCTCAATCTTGTAGAAACACATGTACTCATAGTAAATCGTCAAAACGTAAGGTCCTCACAGCTTTTGGGATGAATGTGCGAATTCCACACCCAGAAAGCCGCGACAGCTCAAGATCATGTTGATGCATGCATTAAGGGCTGCTTTTGTTCATGTAAAGGAGAGTGAAACATTTGATACTTGAGTTAGTTTTCAAATACAAACACAAATCATACTTTTGCAAACATCCATCACATTGCCGCTGGAGAGAAATCAGCCAAAAGAAACCGACGCCAGAGGTGAACGGTGCCTTCACAATCCTTACCACCTTATTCCATATTGACCAATAATACTAGGGACATGGACACTAGAGAGAATAAGAGTGAGTACGAATATCTCTGGACACTAACTTGAAATACGCTCTTTAAAATAAAAAAAAAAACTTCTACCTCACCAATTAGGAAAAACTACATGGTGCCGGGCTGCAATACAGAAATTCGAATTACAATTAACAATATGAAAAAAATGTACTTATGTTAAGAAGAGTAGCAGTAACCGTATTTTCCGCACTGCAAGGCGCCCCTAAAAGCATTCAATTTCCTCAAAAGCCGACAGTGCGCCATATAATCCGATGCGCCTTATAGATCGATCAATATTCTGATTTCTTGGACGTAGTATTTTAAATGTGCTGTAAAGTGCTTTGTTACAGCTGCAGCGGTTGTGAAAGCTCGAAATAAAGCTGAATTGTATTGTATTCCCTTTAGCAGAACTCCATCTAGTGGATGCATAACGCAACCGCAGCCACTGCTGTAGCCTCTATTCTATGCATCTTACAATAAGGTGTGCCCTTTAAATGAAAACAGTTTAAAAATAAGCCATTCGTTGAAGGTGCACCTTATACTCCGGAAAATACGGTACTTATATGGGAGACGTAAATCATTTTCATTTGGTTATTTGTTCCCCTCGCTTCAAAATGCAGCCTACACATTTATGGCTTAAAGGATGCACTCATCATCAATAAGATGTCACTGCAAAAAAATGCAAACAAAGAGAAGTGCCACGACAGCAAGAAGAGGGTTGAGTGTACAAAACCCCCGTCTCATAAATTGGTGTGATTGTCTTCCAGTGAGTGTCGCATTTTGGAGACATCTAATGCATGCGTACTGAGCGTTTTTTAGGGGAGGCGTCTTCCCCAAAGTTGTTAATACGGCAGACAAATGAGTGACTCCGTATGTTAATCCGTTTTCATGTCCTGTAGGTGTAATAGCCAACTGTTGCTGTCCATATCATGGTTATATTTCTTCTATATATGACGAATAAGAATCATTTTCGCTCAATATGTGGATTAAAAAAAAAAAAAAAAAAAAGAACATAAATGTCTGCTACACTGTGTAGGCCTTGGAGTTGTTTCACCCCCTGAAATGCAGTTGAAATGTTTTTTTTGGGGGGGTGGGGTGACCAGACAAGAATGACAGTTCAGATTTTGCAATCTAAATCAAACTCAGAGGCTACATTTTGCATCGCAAAGCACAACGAAATAATGCAGGCCTACTTTTGGTTGTCGTTTCGATTTGAAGCGATTCCCCGGCACTATTTCACTTCAGCTCGGTGTTATACGTGTGCGTTTGTAGTTCCTTTGACTCTTCTAGTTATGTCGCTCTCCAACAAATCGGATCATGAGGAGATGCTGAACATACAAATAAACCATGAAAAATACATAACAAAACTGTGGTTTGATATGTTGACTGTCGAATATACATAATCGTATTTTTTTTTTTTTTTTTTTTAACTGTGGATTGGTTCCCACGAATCACAAAAAGCAACACATCACTCCCGCCCAGCCCCCCTCCCGTCCCATTTCCTTTTTCACAAAGCAGGAATGACGTCCATAAACGCTGCATCTAAAGAGCATAGAACTCAGTCAACAAGAGAAAATAAACAATACAAATATACTTTCATGTTAATACTTAATGATAAAATGTACACAATGTGTTTTCCCCCCACCCCAAACAATCAAAATGAGTAATGTGAAACTTTTTATCTCGTAATGCCCTAGCTATAGAGCATTTTTCCGACACTCTGAAATCACAGTATTTTTCAAGACAAAATCATATCTACAATAATCAGCACTTGTTTTAAACCATAACAAAAAGTAGACCCCGCCGCCCTCCCATCACCTGAAAAGAGAATCTGTAAGTTTACGCTGACTCTAATGCACAATTGTGGCGACCAAACATCGTGTGATTGGTGTCCGATCAAGAGAACGCTACCACTTCAAATAAAATATTTTAAAAAAATAATAATCAAAATAAAAAAAGAACGACACATATTCCAAACAGGGTCACTGTACATGGTGGAACCGGAGATTTTTCGTGCACTTTGTATTCATGGGCTACATGGGGGGGGGGAGAAGGTGAGAGGACTGGGGAGGTGTTCAAGGACCTTGCTCAGCTGATGCCTGACCGGACAAGCCACCACTGATTTCATGAGCTGCAGTAGAGGATTTCTGATTACAAGAAGAATCAATAAAAAGTCAATGGGGGCATCTTCTCTCTCTCAAGAGCTTTTGCTTCTCTTTTTTTTTTTCCTTCTTCTTCTTTTTCCCATTTTTAGTAGCAAAAATATCATGCAGTCTCTAGTTCCAAAAATCCCTGCGGGGATCTTGCGTTTGTTCATTTGTTTGTTTCAGGAGGAAAAAGGAAGTCAAAGCCTTGAAATTCTTCTCGCAATTTTTTTTTTTTTTTTTTTAACATTCAAGTCATCCTATTAATACTTTGTACAGCAGACAAGTCTTTTAGGTCTCATGTGTATGCATGTGCGTGTGTGTGTGTGCGTGTGTGTGTGCATGTGTGTGTGTCTGTGTATATATAAATATAATATACTGTATAGAAATATGCATATACATATGTTCAACCTGTATGTGTATACATATTTTGGAACTGTATCAAAGCCAATTTAATGTGCTCTCAAAATATGGCCAATGATTCCTAGTGGGATGCACATCAATTCACATAGTACAACCAGTAGATTAGGTTGAAAAATCCAAAAGTGATCGGGAATATGACCCGGGACCACTTGTCAATGGTGCTTACATCTGACAGGTTTGGGATTTTCAACTTGAGCTTGGACGAGCGCCGCCGTAGTCGGCAGTTGGCCCGGCTGCGCATGGCGCTCCGATCCAGCGAGTGGTGGCTGAAGCCATCTCGGGGCGCCATTGGCTTCCTGAATTGGACCCCAGAGCTGTCAAAGGACATGACTGAATTCCGAGAGTCACTAACGCTGCTTCCCACGTCAGAGGGCATCACCTCGTTGTTCATTTCCAGAGTGGTGAGGAGAATGTTGCCATACGCATCCACCTATGACAGAGGCAGAGAGACAGAAGTCTCATTGTGGGCTGTTGCCAAAGAGGAGAGCCAAACTAACCCACTACTGTATTATCAAACTTCACTAAATCCCGCAGCGTCCCACAGATTTTGAAAGTCAAGCAAAATGCAGAGGTGACATGGAATGTTATTTCTAGCATGCTCAAAAATAGCTTTTGCTTTAAGACATAAGTAAGTGAATTGCAAACCCTGCTTCCAAAGCAGTTGGGATATTATCGGTGAAGGCGGTGATATGTAAACACGTACACCAATCTATCCGAAAGACCGTCTTCAGTTGTGTTATGTCCGCACAGAACAGTTTTTAGCAACAATGATAATGGGTGAAGACCAAATGGGAAAAAAACAACCTGCAATGTTGACTTTGGTTTGTTAATTCATTCTGATTATTGTTGTTAACTTAAAAATAATAATAATAACATTCTGCACAGACGCATTGGATGTGAAAAGTATTGATGCGTTCATATTTTGAGTGGCTACCAACTATTTTGGAAACAGTTTGGCAGTGAAACAACTTGAAGCAGGTGAATCATAGTGAAGGATGGCCTACAGCTGATATGATTTCTAAATACATGTACCCCAACTTTTCTTTGTTCCTCGAGATACAGATTTCTTCTCTGTGTAAATGATCTGAAGGTGTTGGTTTGAAACGGCACGGAAATGGAGTCCTTGCAATGTGAAAGAAAAAATGAAGAGAACATTAAAACGACTAGCAAATACTGGCAAATAAGCACATTTTCATTTGATTACACAACGCAGTCAACACAGAAAAGCTTAGCATTTAGTATCTTACGCACAGAAACAGGGAGGCGTCATTCAGTCTGACCAATCTACCAGAAATCTCATCACGAGGCCCGTAAGCTTTATCGTGCTGTGTTTTGCTAAGTATGCTAACTGCTAAGGTAGCGAGGTGAGAATGAATGAAGCCCACAGTGACAACCACCTAAATAAGAAATGAGAATGTTTACACCACTGTTGGGCTCAATGAATGGCTAGCTTCATGAAAAGGGGGCTATGCTCGATAAAAAGTTATCGCTGCTTGAGAGAAAAGCAATGGATGATGGTTGGTGGGTTGACTATGGGGGGGGGGGCAACACTGTGCTTTGAGATTACTCCAGTCAGGAATGTAAATACAGTAGTTATCTTAAATATTCACAAATATTCAACTTTTTTTTGGGGGGGGGGGGGGTACTTAAAATCTAACTGACATCATCGAATATAATGGAGGCAGCAGATGAAGATGCAAACCTGTTCCCTTAGGCGCTTCTCTTCGTATCGTGTGCGCTCATTGTTGACTTTATTCAGCCTTTCATTGATTTTCTTCTGTTGTGCCGGGCCCCGGCCAAAGAACACATAATTTACAAAGGCATATTCGAGCAGGGCCAGGAACACAAACACAAAACAGCCCATGAGGTAGACGTCGATGGCTTTCACGTAGGGGATCTTTGGGAGAGTCTCCCTAAGGTGGGTGTTAATTGTTGTCATGGTGAGCACCGTTGTCACACCTGAATGCAGCGGCACGCACACACATATAACACATACATGGACACATGAATCAGTGCAAGCCACATTTTATCGACATTCTTCAAGACCATCGTATGTTCCGGTAGCGAAATAGTTAAGCAAAACTGAATTCGGCCTTTTATACGCTCATTTTGCTGATGTGCTATGTCAACATTTTTCTCACATGTAACCCTTAGTGGGTAAGGAACAATTAAATAATCAAGAAATATGTCAAAATCATGCATTGCATCGACATTAATCATTAAAAAAGGGCTTTTTTTTTTCAACCTCCTACCAAAAATCTGTTAATATTCTCTAATATATACACACATTTAAAAGTACTGTAAATATTTCATTTGAACTGCTACTGGAACTACTAGTACAAATAAAATAGTCATTTGGAATAATTTCCACTGTGTCACTGTGGTTTCTGGGGGGGACATTTTGAAAGTTTTCAAATACAATGCGTATGGATGCAACTTACCCAGGGCCACCCGAGCTGCAGAGGCATCATAATTGATCCAAAAGGAGACCCAGGATAGAATGGTGATCAAGATGGAGGGCATATATGTCTGCAAGATGAAATATCCAATGTTCCTCTTAATTCTGAAACTCAGCGAAAGCCTCGGATATGAACCTGTAAGCAGAAACAACCGAGTGACGGCATGGATAAGATCAGGGAAGAATGAAAAGGGGAAAGTGTAAGGGCGCTCCAAACCCTACACTTGACAACGTGCAGGGTAGTCATTTCTCCGTTTGTTCAGATGGAGCACTTAATTTCCCCAAAGCGATGGATTCCTTTCCAGGGACAAGTTCGATTCCAATTAAACATGGCACAAAGTCGCAAACACGGCAGATTTTTCTGCAAGCCCCTATCTCAGCAGGCCGCTCCAGCATCCCTCTGAGACTTGTCACAGAGAGCTGCTCGCCTGTTTCCTGCTCGCTCCCTCTGTCCTCTAAACATTACTGAAAGGCCATTTTAAAAGGTGATTGCAATGCACGCCTGCACATGAAAGGACAAAGCACATAGTGCTAAGGTGGCATAGTTGGTCATTTTAGTGGATATTTTGCTGAGAAATGTCAAATCATTGTAGCACAAGTTCATTTAAATTTTTTTTACTGCAGTTAGATTCAAACAAGCCGGCGCATAAAATGCTGATGCAAAAAGCAAATTAGCAATCAGGCAACAGCTCTCAGCTTCAGCTCTATAGACGTGTTTGTAGTTTGCAAAATGAAAAGATTACTCTAATATAGTTAGATCGGCAGGTATAAGCCATCTATGGTTATACTGCATTTTTTTTTACTTCAGGAAAGCACTGAGAGAAACATGATGGATTTAATCTCATACAAAAAAAAAATGGCCACAATGACGGATGACGTCATCTGCACTGTAAATCTTTGAATGAATCAATACTTTTTGCATACATGCTTGATTCAAAGTGGGACAACACTTCCCCGTCAAGCAAGTACATCCGAGATTAATCGTGGCACTCAATGTTCACGGATTACACTTAACTCAAACATGAAAATGACATTTTATCTCTGCTTTCGTCTATTTTGTCCGTGCCAGAATTTCTAGAGGCAAAGCAAGAACATTATTGACACGTTGCAACAAAATGTAGGACAAAAAAAAATAACTAAACTCCAAATCAACAGAACAAAGTTCCTGAAGTCATTGGGACTCAGGACTGCTCCTTGTACAACATAAGAAGAAACTTTTTGTCCAGTGTTCAATATCCATACATGCGATGATACACATACATAATTCAACATACCATGAGAAAATGTAAGGAATGAAATTTTTTGTTAAACTGTCAATGGAGTGAATGTTAAAATAAGAGAGACAAAAGAAAAAAAAAACTGATCAGTCAATAATATCCAGATGAAATGTTCCATGGATGAATGAATCTCTTTCAAGTGAGGATACCAAATACGACTCCCTCCTATTAGTACACTGGTCTATGTGTGGGGAGGGGCCAATTTATTGACGTGACCCCAAAGAATTTTGTGAGCATGTCGAAATGACCACAACTATTCCGAGCACAGGAAAAAAGAAAGGAGGAAGGAAGGAAAAAATAAGAAAACAGGAATGAAAACGGGAGAAAGACAGGTCAAGTTGTTGCTCCTCTTGGTTTGGCCAATTACATTTCGCAGCAGCAAGTCACTTGCATGATTCATTCAACAGAAACCAAACAGTCATGAAATGAAGAAAAATTTCCATGGGATGTTATTTTTGAAATTAAACGCAATGTTCCAACTTCAACATCTTTTGTCAGCCTATGTACTGTAAATCGTGAATGGTGGAGGGCACCATAATAAATCTCACTTCATGATTATTTCCTGCCGTTTTATGACAATAAAATCGTCTGTATTGTAGACAACAGTTCGCATGATTCGTTCGACAGAAACCAAACAGTCATGAAATGAAGAAAAATGTCCATTATTTTTGAAATTAAACGGAATGTTCCAACTTAAACATCTTTTGTCAGCCTATGTACTGTAAATCATGAATGGTGGAGGGCACCATAATAAATCTCACTTCATGATTATTTCCTGCCGTTTTATGACAATAAAATCGTCTGTATTGTAGACAACAGTTATCACCTCCTGTCATCAATTTCCTCAAGCGTGGTGACCTTGGAGGAAGGCATTCTTACAACTGGACAGCTGACCAAAACAGCTCCTTCAACATCTCCTACACTTGTGTCTTTCAATCCCTACTTATCTACTTTGCCCTAACGGGGGTCGGCACCATTGTGCTTCAAATGTTCAATGCTAAGTCTTTATTGTAACATTCCAGAGTCATTTGTGGTGTTTCATACACACTTTTGAAATAAAGTTTACGGTATGTTGACATTTTGGATATTTTACTTCTTCCCTTCAATTGAAAGGACATTTGAGGATGATGACATTATTTTTTGCGGGAGATGATGTTTCATTTTGCCGGTATCTACTTTGCCCTAACGGGGCACCACTACACTTCAAATATTCAATGCTAAGCCTTTATTGGCATGTTACGTTCCAGAGTCATTTGTGGTGTTTGATACACACTTTTGAAATAAAGTTTATGTTGACATTTTGGATATTTTACTTCTTGCCTTCAATTGAAAGGACATTTGAGGATGATGACTGATTATTTTTTGCGGGAGATGATGTTTCATTTTGCCGTAGAGCAAAAACTGTGAAAACATTCCTTGACGAAAGACACAAGGTCAATGCCATGGCCTGCAACTAGTTTGGATCTCTCTCCAAACGAAAACGTCATTCAGTCCATGCCTCTGAGGGTCAATGCTATGGCCTGCAACTAGTTTGGATCTCTATCCAAACGAAAACGTCATTCAGTCCATGCCTCTGAGAAGCCAGGGGTGTTGCAACAAAATACGAGTGGTGTGATGAAGTGTTCTTTGATTGTTGGTGTGTAGTGTTTTTTTCCCCCCATGATTCCACAATTACCTTCAAATTGAGTGATTTCTCAATTGATGCCAGGGGTGGTATACTCAACTACTTTTGCTGAAACAAATGTCTGCATTTGACTATTTTACTATTTTCTGATCATGGTGAGCAACGTGAGACTGATAATTGAATTAAAGCTGTCAATAGCTTACCGGTAGTAAACCGTACTTCCTTGGAGACCAAGCGGATGTCCACGATGGAGAACTGAGGTAACTCTAACTTGTCCACACCTGTCACAGCGCTGTCCCCTCCTTGCCAGAAGAACACAATGTCATCTGTGGTGTATCCGTCTGTCACGGGAAGAAAATGGGAAGTGAGGGTGGGGAGGGACACAAGGTCAAGAAATAACCATGAAATGGGACAATGTATCTCGTGAAAGGTGCACTGCGCAGACAACTAGTGGAGGTCCCTCTGACGAATGACGCACTCTGCTATAAAGTCATTCGGATCCGATCAGATATCTTGACTTTTGAAAACCATTACGCGGAGCAACGATATGACATCCCAGAATGACTTCATGGAGACAGTTGTTGTTCCCACACAAACCTAAACTCTTAGCAAACATACCGTCTGATACAGTTACTCACGCTGGAACTGTAACAGACATTCTGATTCTCGCTACCACCCACACGTGAAGCGCACACACTCCAGCACATAGTTTGTTGCGAGTCACCATCGCTTATTTCCTCATACGTACTTTCGAACTCTTCTTGTGTGTTGAATGATCTCGTGTACAGCACAGCTACTGTAGCCCCTTGCAAGTTCACATTTTAGCACAAACTATTTGTGCATTACATTGACGGCTTTATTTTTGCGAGCGGCATAAATTCTGTCAACGCATGGCATAGCTCTGTGCGCAGGTGGGTTAGACCCAATGTGAATTTCGCAGAATGGCGGATCTGTGAGCGGGAGGGTTGCGGTCACAGTTAGGGCTGCCACACAGGACTATTTTACCAGCGGACTAGTCACCGATAGTTGTCCCGATTTGTCGACTAGTCGGATCATACGTAAATCGCGGCACATCACATCAGCAAGCAGATTGCTCTTATGTATAAAACCATCATTAGCATACGGCTTGAATTCTTTTAGGCATGTGCAAAAAAAAAAAAAAAAAAGAGGCAATTAAGATAATAGTTCGTTGCACTTTTAGTCATCTATGCAGCTTGTAGCAAAATTCAGAACACTTAAAATTGAATTTGGAGACGATGCTGTGCCTTTTAAAATGGAACCAAAAACTATATACTGTGACATTAGCAATACTATGAGACCCTATTTATCAATATAAAAAGAAATACTTGGCAACATGTTTCACTCTCCTTAGGCATCGAGCATTTTTTATGTAGAAGATAATGAAATCAGATGAGTAAAATCAGGACAGCCCCTCATCCCCTCACTTGCACGCCACTGATGCGGGGAGCTTTGCCAAAGCAATACTGCTACAGTGCCTTGGACTACCTCACTTTAATATTTCCCACTTGCCCACAAAACCTGCCAAATATTAATAGCCCTTCCAACATCGTAGAAAGGGTTCTGTCAGTCGTCATCTGTACCTGTGGGTAAAAAACAAAAAAAAAAAAAAACAAAAAACAAAAAAGGACGTTTCGCTTCTCTCACAGAAGCTTCGTCAGCGGTAGACAACCCTGAAGTCTCCGTGAAGACTCCGGGAAGTTGCTCTGAGAGGGTGAAAATTTTTTAACAAAAATCACAAAAATAAAAAAATTTTCACCCTCTCTGAACCGTGAAGGAGGTATCAGATTTAACCTGTCTCCTATTTACAATAACTTGTTGACCAGTAAGGGACATAGACATGCTGATCAGGCTAACTGAAAGTAGCTATTCAGCCTTAGCCCAAACAATAGGCCTAATCAAGACCCAATGATAGGGAGTTTAGAAACCAATGGGCCTCTTCACCATAGGGGCGTGACTAACCATCCCCACCCAGTCCTCAAACAGGCCACGCTCAGCCTTTTAGCGCAGAGCAACTTCCCGGAGTCTTCACGGAGACTTCAGGGTTGTCTACCGCTGACGAAGCTTCTGTGAGAGAAGCGAAACGTCCTTTTTTGTTTTTTGTTTTTTTTTTTTTTGTTTTTTGTTTTTTGTTTTTTACCCACAGGTACAGATGACGACTGACAGAACCCTTTCTACGATGGAACTTTCCTGTACGACTGAGAGCCTCCACAAGCAGCCCTTCCAACAGCAACACAATCTCACGCACATACTTTTCAACACTGTTTCTACCAGCTCTCATTACCTTAGCCAAACAAGCAACATGGCACGTCGGAACATGAAGTGGTTTTAGGTTTGAGGTGGGATCTTTTCCCAGATAAGCACATGCAGACCAACCTGCAGAAGAACAAAACCACTTTGGTTGTCATAAAGCCTGCCTGCATCACATGTTTAAGCTATCCCGACATCCCTCTCCTGCCTCCCACACGGCATGAATATTCATCAGCATGTGTCAGTTGGCCGTCCTGCACAATCTCAGTTGGCCGCACAAGTGAAAGTGATCACAGTTGTAGACGATGTCAATGGGCCAGTACGCGTTCACTGCAGCGCCGTCTCTCAGCGCGGTTCATTTGACTACATTTCACCTTCTAGTAGCGACAAGTTATTTACTTCTTCCTACTCCTTTGAGCATAAAACTGTGATGATGTCTGTCATTATTTTTCTTTTCTTTTCTTTTTATAATTTTTACTTGCCTTCACTTTTGTCAATCTGTTATTGTATTGTATGTTCTATATGTTCTATATGTTCAATAAACAATAAACAAACAAACAAACATGTCCAGACTCGTGGCATTAAATTCATCTATAGGGACCTGGAGTCAATAGCCCTGAATCTCTCTCTGGATGGAAGGTGCCTAATCCATCAAAATGATAAGAGTGCACCGCTCACACTCGCACGGGAAGCCCAATCGGAATCAATTAAGGATATTCGTGCAATGTTTTAAGCATAGGTCCATTTTATAGATCACAATGATAAACAATCAGCAACCACAACCACACATATGCAGCGTATTGAGAAAGTAGAGTGATTGATAAGTTCACCAATGGAAATGATCACCCGATACGGTTTGAATCTCACCAGCAACACCAGCATTGTTCTCATGGCAGGTGATTCAGGGAGAAGAAACCATTTGTAGGAATCCGCACAAAATATGCTAATAGAATTAGATTTTACCCAATTAAACATACATATTTATCTTTCATTAAAAAAAAAAAAAACTCTGGAAGATTTATTGTGAAAGTTCTTTTGTGTTATGATTTTATTATCAACTGAATGATTTTACTGCAAGGTGATCACATATTTGTATGAAAAAAAAGGTGATTATGTTCAGTTTTCATTGACACCGTCAGAGACGGGAATTCGTGAGGATTTTGTTTTCCTAAGTTACAGTACATGCGAGGCACAGACTCATAATGCAATATCAGTCATAGATGAGCAACATCCTAAATATAATGGAGCCCTGAATCTTATTAGACTGTTTAGATCTGGTGCGGTGGTGACTGGAAGGCTGGATTCATACAACGAAGTCCAAGTGAAGTGGTTCCAATTTTTCCAATGCAAGCCTGATGTCATAGAAAAACCTGATTGGTTACTTATAATACTGATGATGAATAATGATTTACACACGCCTACTAATGACATTATGCATATGTTTTGGGTTTGACTGCAGCCCCCGATGCCAAATAGAAAGAGTCTTCCCTTCAAACACAATGAAAATCAACGCTACTGGTAGTGGAATGCACTAAAGAACAAACTGCTGTCGTGATTTTTTTTTCTTTTTTTCATGAGTCCGGATTGCGTCTCTACCAGGTTAAAAATGGCACAAAATCCATATATAATTTGCACTTACTACTTGTACAACAGCTACATTTTTTATTTATTTTTTTTGCCAAAAGTTCATTAAAAATAAAAGATATTTTGATGTATGTGGTGAGTGTAAATGCATACACTGCGGAGTAGTGGGCAGACTGCGGTGGCCTTTCAAGTACCTCGCACCAACGTATAAGTTTGGACGGTTAAGTGGCAAATGGGTTGTATTTTGAAGGTGCATTTGCTTACTTTGCTTTCTTTACCTGCAGAGGTGGTAAACGGGCAACAAATGCATGGCATAGTGGCTTAGTCCCCCCCCCCCCCAAAAAAAAAAATATATATAATAAACAGCATGTGATAGCTCATAATTTGAAGGTGATGATATCAGCAGCTCTAAGGTTTGTTTTCAAAGGTCTTGGTGAGAGCAACGGCTACGCTGGCATTTACTTACAACTTTCAATTTCCAAGGTGCAGTTCTGTTCATCGAGAGGGTATCGCCTCAAGTCCATCATACAAGCAGCCGTGGTGGTTATTCTGGGGGACGAGACAGAAACAAAACCCGCTTTGAAAAGGTTTCATAGGTTTCTCGGAAGTGCCTGTGAAAAAAGTCACGTCATACGGAAAAGAGCAGCACCCGCTTGAAAAGTAGCAGGTGCGTAGAGTGGATAGAGAAAGTCTCCACACCCCTGTTCAAACGTCATGTTTTTGTGATGGATAATTTGTATTGACACTGAATGGTTGTGTCAGCATGTATTTTCATATAATGCAATTATTAAATACACTTATAAAATGTATTTTTCTAATTTAACTTTTTTTTTATGGCACTTTGGTTTTATGTGGGTAAATGTGTCCCATGCTGAAACAGCCATGCTTGAAGCCCTGTTTTCCAAAAATTACTCATGATTGAAAAATTTGAGGCCATAATAGTAAAGATCAGAGATAAATACATTCATTTCATGGCAAACCAGTGCAAATCTTATCTGAACAAGAGTTCTTCAATTTGCATGGGGAAAAAAAAAACATGAACCATGATAACCTCTAATTATGAGCAACAACTTCATTCGATAATGAAACACAATCAGCAGTGAACTTGGGGTTGAAACTTATACTTTGAACAAATAAAGTAATCATGTAACTTAACTCTGCAAACTAATTAGACATCAATGAAACATCCATACTTTTGAACAGCGGTGCCCATGATGTCAATCGTAATCGACCTGTTGCTCGCCAAGGGAGTGTGGGTCGATCCCACGGCATGAACTTATTCACTGCCACACCTCTCACTTTTATACTATTGATATTTCCAATAGCTGCCTCTCCAACAGCAGTGAATGATCATTCGTTCTTTGTCAAACTTTGTCATTTGATTGACATACAGGGCAGCCAATCATACACCCGCCCCATGGATCACCGCAAATGTACATATGACGGCACTATATATATATATATATATTGTGTGTGTGTGTGTGTGTGTGTGTGTGTGTGTGCAATAAAGATTTTTGTGTTATGGTAAAGACATCCACGGCTTCGCAGCAACCATGTGAGTCTCATAATTTACATGTTGCCCTTCTCATTCTGTAAGTATAAGTGTATAAATGCTCCTAAGTACTCTTAACTCTTGTCTTTAAACAATCATTATCAAAGTAATGGCAATTGTTCTGGCACTTTCACAAATCCATACATTTTCACAGAGTCAGTAGCACATTTTATGGGGCCTGTGCTTGATTCACATTCCTTTGCATTGGAGTCCGGTGGGACTCATCGAAAGTTTTCCCCTTTAATGCACATTTTTAAGCAGTATGTTCAAGCCTATGCCATTGGCACGTCTTTGTTGTTTTAGACTGATGCAGTGCAGAAATGAGCAAAAATCGAGACCCAAGCACCAAAGCTGATAATATCGGGAGGCAGGAGAAGAAGCCTAGTAAACGAAATGTGTGTGACCGGTGTGTGATATCTATTATTCACAATGACACTGAGCTGCATTCTGCTGCACAAGCATTCTGCTGCTCAGACTGCATTTGTTACCACTCTGCTGTGCTACACCTCCCTGCTGCCTTCACAGCACTCCTCCGCTGACTGCATACAGAGGGGCGACACACTGCTGATACACTCTGAGAGGAGATAACATCAGACCTAATTACATTAATCGGAGAGGTCACTTGGCAATTAGACTTCCCATGTAAAAAGTTGCAAACAAGCAACATCGCCATTAATAACATCGGTTAGACTCTATGCACAGTGGGAGATGCTGTGTATGGCTACACAACAGCAAAATGCAACTTATCATCAAAACACAAACCGCATATAGACTCACCGGCCGCTCCATTAGGTACACATGCACAATAATCATTATGCACGAAGTCTCCCTCAAAAGTTGCCTTTCATTGTCATAGAAGTGCGACTTGAGATGTAAAACTGCATTTTATAATGCTGAAATGTGATTTTCAATCGTTGTCTCATACATACACATCAGAAGGCCCAACAATTAGATTTAGCATTATGCATTTCCAGAGATGAGCATTCTCAGCCCCGGTGTGTCCATCAGCGAGCTGCCGTCAGTATTTCAGGCTGGCCCAGTCTGTCCAAGTCGTTGGCAACAGCCAAATGGCACAGAGAACGACTTATCATTAGTACGTCACACGCAAGTGTCGCACGATTGACATAGAGCCAAATGCAGAAAAAAAGCAAAACTTTTCCCACTATATCAAGGACTATGACGTATGCTCCTCACATGCAGCATTTACAGTAAGTAGCCACTTTGAATGGCGATGAATCAAATTGGCTGTGATCACATCCGCAATGGCTCAAATTGCCTGAAAATCCCCAAATTCGGTTGAACCTGCCCCTGCGTGGGTTTAGGCCGCGTCTCGCTCCAGACTTGCAATGGGCACAAAAATGTCCGGCAGCACATCAGAACAAAGCAAGTAACAAAACCACCGAGCACACAACATAAGAATGAGATATGTCACACAAGACACATAAAATATTGAGATTAAACAAAAGCAGAGGTAAGGGCCTATCCCCCTGTAATCAAAAAGACATCCTGTCAACATAAGCTACTGCTCCCGGTAGCACTATGAAGTCGAGTAAGCCTGGCAGCAGCTCGGACTAATGGAGAGAGAAGAATTCTTTACCCCCTTGGCACTCAGAACAAAAGCCCACAATGAATAAAAATGTGCTTATATGTGACAGCTAACAAGTCAGGGGAGAGCCAAACAGTGAGTAGGCACATGTTAGGTGCCTCCGAGAGAGGGTTTGGGATTTGGAGAAGTCAGTAGATATGGGTCAACAACAGTCAGTCCCACTCGAGACAGATGGCAGCATGTTCAAATCTGAGGAATCGGACATGAATTTCGATCTTTGGTGGAACTCATGAGGATGATGCGCAACGCATTGCATGAAGATTTTCAGGAATGACTCACGAATGGTAAAAAAAAAAAAAAAAACCCAAAAGAGCAGCCTAGTGTATTTCTATTCATCAAGTCTGCATTTACTGTAACGGTCTCGGGTCTGGAGGTGGACTCCAGACGAGGAAGACGATGTCAGATGCATGAGCAACACTTCTGACACCTACACAGTCTGCTGATGCAGCTTGCTTGCCGAGGAAAATGACAGAAAATACGTGATCGCCCCACAAGAACCTCAATATGTTGTTTGGGCTCTTATGAGTCATATTTAGAGTTAATAATTTAAGAATTTATTAGCTCAACACTGTGCCGGTTCTACAATTAAATTAGCAGCCAGACATTAATAAGTGGTTCAAAATAAATAAATCAGCATTCTTCTCACACACCATATTTGGTCATAAGGAATGTTACTTGCCACCGCATTTCAATGTCCTGCCTATTTAAAGTCTACTCATTCAATGACTGTCTAAATTCATTTTACCATATTGGCCCGAATATAAGACGGCCCTGATTGTAAGACGACGCCCTCTTTTTCAAGACTCAAGTTTGAAAACAGACATTTTGAACACCAAATTAATTTTTATACAGAAAAGAATTACAGTACATCTGAAACAAATGATTATAACAATATATTTGAGAGAAAAAGCATGTGTTTTTGCCTCATTCAAATCTAAAGTGCAATCACATTCGTAAATGAATGACTTCTGGTTTTTGAAATGTAAATTACATCATAACTTCTCCTCAGCTGCCGGTTAACCTGGCCGATCTTCGACCCACTTTTCTCCAGATTGTCACTACGTTTCTCCATTTTCTGTTATCTCTTCTATTATTTTCTTCTCTTTTCCTTCTTACCGCTATTTTTCATTTTTCTTCTTCGTCCTACCGC